CGCGGACAGTACGTACTGATACTTATCGCGAAACGCCTCAAGGTCGGCTACTGACAGCCCGGCTAGTTTGAGGTTCAACAAACTACGTTCACCGAGCACACCAATTCGGTCCCTTTCTAGTTGAAAGTGACGAAAGATGGAAGCCATCATGATGCGTCCATTGGGCATGCCTCCCGTCATGGAGCGTTCATGCTCAACCATTCCCTGAAACAACAGCCCAAACTTACCTTTGCGGCATGTCTTTAGGAGCTTCGCAGCGACTTCTCGATCGGTTCGTGGGAACCTTTGATCAGCTCTCAACTGTGCGTCACTCTTAGTTAGGCAGCCTTGCGCCCACAAGTAAAGTTCATCACCCGGGCTCTTCTGAAGTCTACCTATGGCCATTAAAACCTGGTTTACATAACCTCTTGCTTGGCCCGCATCCTCGGGAGGGGCAGGAAATGTCAAATCCTTCAAGTCTTTGATGCGGACCACATCCTCCTCTTGGGATGCGAAACTTTTGGTCTGGTGTGCGCTGGCGGAGTCTGGGAGTGTGCCGTGAGCATCACCTACCGCACTGAAAGCAGCACTTGGCGCGCAAAATGCAGCGCCCCCCTGAGTTGCATCACCACTGTTGGTGTCTACACCCACTTCGTTCATTGAGAGACGGGGGGGGCATGACAATTCGTCGTGGCCACCGCAAACCCTACACTCGCCAGTGGGTTCGGGTTCATCGGCAACATCATCATCCTCGTTCTCGGAACTTGATGAGGACTCTGAGCTCGCGTCTGATGCAGCCTTAGGGGTTGTGTCGACCATTCCCGCGCTAAAACTTAGGGGGATTATGGGAACCGGGTATGCCTTAGCAGCTGCCCTTGCGGCAGTTGGGGCAGGGCAGGGAGCTGAAGCCATTGGAGGAGGAGCCACGCTTTGCGCCGCGACCAAAGTGCTAAGCTGATGCACCATTGAGGCTAGGGAAGCAATTTGCTGCTTAACATCTGCTATCTCACTTTTCTCATCCTGACTACTGCTCTGCGCGCCAACGGCTGCGCCTTTGGCGGACACAGCACTGTTGCTTGCGGCACCTGCACCTACATCGAATGCGCCAGTAGGGGCTGCGCCCTTGACGGGCGTGGCACTTCCTTTGGCGATCGCTGCTTCGGCACATTGCTCTGAATCGGTAGGGGCAGAACCCTTTGCGAGTCCCGCACTTCCTGCGATGTCTCGTGTTGGGCCGGTAAGGGCAAGGCTCTTTACGAGTCCCACACTTCCTGCGGCAACATCACGTGGGGTTGCAACATCCTGGAATGTGACATGCAGGTTGGCAGAGGAAGCACCGGGCTGGGCGCCCGAGTCAACACCAGTTGTATGATGAGGACCCGCTTGAGGTGCGGCACTATCTAAACCCTGTTGTAAGGATCTATCAAGTCCACTCTGCTGGTTTGCTTGGTCTTGCAATCCACTGGATGAAGCCCCCGTTTGGATACCCATTGACACATCCTGTCCACCCAAAATGGGGGAGCTCCGGTTATGCGACCCTTTGGGTTGAGGGGTATTAGAATCCGTACCATTATCGGTTTGTGCTTGCGGGGCACTTTGCGGCGAGCGAGTCGGAGGCTGACGCTTCAAGCAAAAGGGAAACCGTCCTTTCAAGTTCGGCTAACCTAGACGCTTGTTGCAAATCCTTCTCTTGCAGAGCTAGAATGGTGGCATCACGTTCGGCTACGGCAAAGGTATTGGGTCTGAGCTTGGGCCTGGGCCTGTTCAGCATTAGCCCTGTTGCGAACTTCTGCTGCATACCTTTCAGCTAATGCCCTAGTCTGTCCTTGCTCCGCAGCGCCAATGGCTTGCTGCCTTGCGTTGAGCTCGTGCTCACGTGCATAATTCACGGCCTGTTGAGCTTGGGTTACAAGGTTCATTGCCTGATGCCTAAACAACCCTTCCCTTTGTTGGGCGGCTTCCCGGAGTTCCCCCGCCTCCCTTCGGGCCTGCTCAGCCAGCAGTTGCTGTTGCTGTGCATGTTCTGCGGCCTGAAGCGCGACATCGGAAGCATGGTGGGCACGTTGAACGACGGCACCCGCAACAAATGCAGCAGCTGGGAGGTTCTGGGTTGGATCGGGCGTTCCAGCCGGCTCTGATGAGGATGGTTCTGAAACGAACATGCGCCTAACAGGGGTTGCGTCGGAATCTGGTGCAGGGCTATTAGGGTTATGCCTAACAACAGACATGGCTGGCACCATTGCACCCGCAAGGTCTGGGTCATCATAGTCTGTGCCATGTGAGGATCTAGACCTATCTTCGGATGGGGGTGTGATGCCAGAGGGATTCATGCCTGAGCCGCACAGATGCAATAGCTTTTCCTGCACACGCGAACCAAGTCAGTGCGCCAAAGGCAGCACTCTCCAAGGCCGGTGATTTGTGCCTGGTGGGATTATGAGATGTGCACTTACGGCTACACTCAAAACAGATTATTGAATGATGCAGCAACACACTCAGTCACACAAGGGTTGATATACCTCACTACTTGATAATGGGGAATCTCCTTTGAACCTAAACTTTTGATTGCAAACTGGATGCAAATGTGAAGGCTCACCAATGCAGTTGTATGCAATTGGAAATGTGTGACTTCGTGTGTCTATGCGCCACAGCTCTTCGGGGCGCCAACGGCTGCCCCCTGCACAGGATGGGAAACTATCCTAGGTGCGCCAACGGCTGCACCCCTGTCGTGAGCACCAGGTGATTTGCTACCTGCGAACCTCCTCAAGGAGCTCTGCGAATCAATCCGTCCACGATCTGTGGGTGAAGCCTTCCCCCAGAGCGGATGTTCACGTCGAGCACCCCGTGCCAATCCAGGACGACGTTGAGCGCCAGGCCGGCTGTTTGCAGGGACAGAAGCCTTTCTGGCTGGCGGTGCCGCTAAGCGTGGGGGCGAAGAAGATCTTGCTTTGCTCGGAACACGCCCGCGACTGCTTGCCAAAAATGCTGCAACTGTTCCCCGCGCCGCTGGCCGCGGTCCGCACTTTACTGTGGCTTTCGTAGCAGGGGCCGAAGGTGAGGCCGGCACTGTAGGTCTATGAAACGGTGCTTCGTATACCCCACCCGCCCGGAATGCTGCTCTGCCTGAAAGCAAATCTTCTGTGTTGTGCACCGTGTCCCCGTCGGAGTAGTCTTCCAGGTGGTAGACCTCCGCGTTCCCGTAGTTTGGGGTCGAGGAACTAGACCTCTCCCCGTAGGCCTCGGGGCGGAGCCACACGTCCGTTGGCAGTTCGTGAGGATCACTGAACCGCGGCAGACGTGAGCGGGCTCGGCCTGCAAATGCCCGTGGAGCGCCGGAGGGCTGCTCCCTCTGCAGTGTCCACGTGCCGGTCCGGTCGATGCGGACCGTCGGATAGGCCGAGCTCCTTGGCGCCAGCACGATCGGTCTGTCGGTTGGCGAGGTCCTTGATGGCACACTCCTCGATCTGCCACGCGAGGATCAACTGGTCGTCGGGCGAGGAGTTCTGCGGGTTCCCGAAGGCTCCCGACTGCTCGACTCGCCTGCCGCGCCGAGGGCTGCGGCCTCCTGGGTCGGTGTCGGAGTTCTTGACCGAGAGCGAGACCTAAGCACGATGGGCACTTGGGAATAGACTGCTCGCAGAACTTGCCTTGACACTGACCGTGTGGAGGTCGTAGATGTTCTTGTCCTCGGAGCTGTACCAGTCACCGCGCCTTGGGCTGCGGTCCTCGCTGTAGGCAAAGCCGGAGCAGACAACCAAGCCTCAGCAGGTGAAGCCTGCTGGGCCACGGAAGGCTGCGCCGCCTGCTGCTGCTGCGGTGGTGTAGAAGGAGTCGGAGATGAGGGAGTGGCAGGCACTGGATTTGCACCTGCCGCGCCAGTGGCTGCGGCCCTCCGTTCTTCTTCACGGATTGCCCGGATGCGAAGGGCCGTAGGCTGATGCCACCTGTGAAGCTCCTCCCAACGCTGCTCGGTGACGTCCCGGTTCCAGGCCCGAAGGGCAGCAAGCTGCACCTCTGATCCCTGTTCCCACTGCAACTTGGGTGGTGTAAACCCAAAACGCTGCTGGACCTCGTCGATCACGTCCTCCTGGAGCTCCCACCACACTCGCTTCTTGTTTGCGGCTCTCTTCCTCGACGGCCATGCGCGCCCCCTTATGGGGGAACCGCTGAGGGAGGGCCTAGTTAATCCCGAAAGAATGGCTATACGGCTGATAACCAATCAAAAGAGCAAGAAACCCCAAACGCGCGCCAAAGGCTGCGCCCCGAACAAAAAGAGGTGGATTGACCGTGGTTAATCCCTCAGCGGTTCAGGGGGTTGTTTCTAAACTCTAGTTCCGCACTCAGCGCTCTTTTTCTTGTTGAGCGCTTGAGCCAAATGGCGTTTGCCGTTTGACAAGTGTGTCATGTCATGCAACCCTCAACCTAAACCAAAGTGGCCTCATGCAAACCTCACACCAGTGAACACACAACTAGGCAAGTTACCATGCCTTTGGGGGCAAAGGGGTCGTTATTTCTTGACTTCCTAAGCACTGAAAAACTTACCTTTCATCCATCTTACCTGCAGCAGGCAAAACGTAATTCAAGATTGTGCTCGTCTTCCGCAGCCGCAAAAGCCATCTTAACTCACAGTTTCCGTGTGCAAGTTCTCCACATGTTTCTGCAAATTCGCCAAAAGTCATAAGTATTCCATGCAGTTCTCTAAATGAAAGATCTCTCCACGCCACTTCCCTGTGCAAGGTCTCTATGCAAGCCCTCAAAGTAAACTTCGCGATGCAAGTCCTCCATATAGGATGAGCTTATCGATGCACAACCATGTGATGCAAGCTCATGCACAAAACATCCAGTGGAAGAACCCTTCTCGATGCCTTCGGGAAATCTTGGGGTTGTCGTTTTGCCTCCTGTTTGACAATATGGCAAAACCTTCAAGAGGAATCCATAGGCTGGAAATCTTAGGTCATGGCCGCAATCCCCCCCACCCCACCCCACCTCCCCAGCCCCCCAGCTCGCTCCCCTTTGTTGCTCACTCCGAGGAGGACGCGAAGGGGCCCTTCGGCCGCACCACCAGCCCCGGGAACTGCCAGAAGGACCGACGGAGCGCGAGCGAGCTGTTGGGTTTGGGACTTTCCGCGCTTCGGAGCTGGGAAAGCACAGCGCATTTGTATGGGGAGAGCCCTCCAGAAACCTTGAAACAGAACGTTTCAAGTGAGTACCGATGAATTGCGGCCCCTTTTCTGGAGCACCCAAGCGTTCATGTTGCTGTTGATGCCCCTTGTCTGATGGGACGGAAACCGCATCCTTCTTTTAACCTACGTGTTTCGAATTCCCGAATCAATCGGCTGGCAGCTTTTGCCAAAGAAGGGGTTTGCCTGTAGGTTGCAGTGTGCCGCCTGCGGTGCAGATTTTGAATTTGCAAGCTCATGATTTGAATTGGGGGTGATAAACTCCATTCAAAGCATGAAGGTATGCAATAGAGTTGGTTCATTTGAGCCAAGGGGACTCCCTTTGCATGGGTTTCAGCTGCCTCAAACTTTGGGGACGATTTCAGCTGTCCCCTTGGCTTCCAGACAACTCCTTTTTCGGGGTACCCTTTAAAAAGCGGCCCAAATAGGCAGCTTTCATTGGTTGTTCTGTGGTTTGGTGGTCAGGGGTGATTTCTCATCTACCCTCAACAAGAAACAGGGTTCAAATCCCGATTCCACGAATCCAAACCAGCAAATGAGGGGAACCAGATATGTCATGAAACATCAGGATTCTACAGGCTTCTTCCTGCATCCTTCCAAACTCACATTCGCGGTGCCCAAGATGGGCGGGGATCCGCTTTTGGGCTGTGCTTTTTGAGGAGGCCTCAAGCAGACAAAAAACCTGTGCGGGATGTGCGCACACTCTGCTGGAAAGAAATTAAACCTCTTCTTGTCAAAGTATTGGACCTGAAAATCGGGGGGGGGGGGGGGGAAGAGATCCAAATGGACATATCAGGCTCCCCCCCCTCACCGCAAATAAAAGAAAGCTTCCCCAAACGCGAGCTAAATCAGTCTCATTAGAGTCGCCCATGCCAAACATGGGTGTCCACACTAGACCAGGAATATTCCGCTTGGTGGTCGGTCAAAAGTTATTCGAATGCGTGTCCATTAAGGCGCCAGCTGCAACAAAAATATGTGGCACTCTGTTTCAATCCAAGACCTGCATGTCAAGAACAAACACGCTTTCCGTCATGACCCCGTCCACGAGAAAAACTGGGGGAAAAAATCAAGTCTACAAGCAGATGAAGGGCACGGTGGATGCGCTACATATTGCAAGCATAGAAACCAGGAAGCTTTAGCAACTACCTATGGTCTGTGGATTGTAAACCTGCAATGCGGGCATCTACCGTCTCACGGAGCCATGGGAATGCCATGCTTGTCCCGTGGGCCTGAGTGTCCACGGCCACGTAGAGAAAGTTCTCCGCCACGTCACTCATCCTCAAATCGATGGCTTTTGTTGGCAAGTCCGAGCTTCTTATGAGGCACTAAGACAAGCTTCAAAGCTTGTGTTGCTCATCTGACGGCTGTAAACGCTGCACCCCCCGTTGCCCAGTGCTGTTGGGGGCCTACCGCAAGCTTTGGTTTGCTACTGTCTTTCCACATGGTGCCTCTTTCGTATGTTTTTTTAAAGCTTGGGAAGCACGTGTTCAGCTTCCGGCCTCAGTGCCACAAAAATCAACGGTGCGAGCTGGGGAATGATTCCTCGGCGGGCTTTTGGCAGACTTTGTGGCACAAGGGAGGGAGTCCCTAAGTCTGATTGGGAATGTATCAAAACAGAGAAACGGTTGCTTTTGGCCTCCCTTCAAGTGCCGGCCCAAGAAGGGTACCCTTAAGAAACACACACATTCTGATCCACCCAGGATTTGACCGCGCGCTTGGCCGGTCAAGAACAACGGCCCGGGAGGGACGCCAACATGAACTTGACCAGTTGTATCCAGTTACAAGCATTTGAGAAGAGGAAAAGGAGAACAAATGAGGCTCCCAACAAAAGCAATGAGTATCCCCTCCAGGATGGGCAAATCCCCCTTTTTGGTTGTTGTTTAACAAACACCAAAAGCACACCGAAGCTTCCGGACAGTGTCAAAAGAACGAGAAAAACATGGATGCTGGAAATTCTTTGGCTTGGATGGTTACCCTGGTGTTAAAAAGAAGATCTTTCGACGGAAGGTTCTTTGGCTTGCATGGACATCCTGCTTCCGGACGGTATTAAAAGAAATTATTTGGCTTGGATGCTGAAAACGTGAAGCACGGTCCCCATGAACCCCCGTCCCCGTCCTGGCCATCTCCTCGACCAGATTCTCCGCCCAGACCTCAAGACCCACACCAGAAACCACTCACGTGGATTGGCCCCAAAAAAATACACCACACTTCTTGGCGGCCACTAAAATGGTCCAAACCCAAAAAGTGAAAAGTCCAACTCAGGAAGTGAGTGCGAATAGTTGACAGCCGTCTGGTGATTTCTATTCCAACTTTGGAGTCGTATGCTTGTGCCTTTCTGGGCGGGAAACCCACAAAAAAAAAAAAAAAAACGTACCCAACAAAGACAACCCCATGTGGCTGTCCGGGCGCAGTAGATTGACAGCAAGCCTCTACCACTGCTTGAGTCCGTCACAGCCTTGGTCTCCCAAATCGTCTCCTGTAGACATTTCGTGGAATGAATGGGCTGAACGAAAAGGCAACCCAAAGACTCATACCCCAAACTTGTTCGTGGCCAAAACCTTTGACAAGTCTCAAGACAAGAACACGAAGCGCGTCAAAAACGCACCGCTCTTCGCTCAAGGCTCCGCTTCGAAGGCGCCTCCTGCGACCTCTTCTCTTGGCGCTTCGAAGGCGCCCGCTCGAGGTGGTCGCCCTGACGCCGACGAAAAACCCGCGAGTCGAGTGGAGTCGTTGGAAGGCTTCCCCGATCAACGGGGGAAATGACATGGATCTTTCCAACCCTTGGCAGGGCGGCAAAAAAGCAGTCTTCTTTGCAGCCTACTAAAAATGCACAGAACCAACAAAACGACTAAAAACCTGATGCCAACAGTGAGGGGGTGTCTCCCAGAAACGCGGCATGTCCTCTAGTTTCCGTCAAAACCAACTGAGGCCTGTTAGAACGCATCGCAGGGATAGAAACCCCAACGTGTTTCTTGCCGGGGTCAACTTTGCAAGGATGCTTGAAGGCAAAATGAAAGTAGTGTCACTCACGGCATGAGGTGCTTCTCCTACCCCTGAAAGAGGACTGCGCTTGGTTGAGGCAGTGGACGTTCCTTTCAGATCGGACAGGAAAGACAGGCTGCGCGTGGTGCGCGAATCAAGGTATTTGATTGACCACTTGAGCGCGGTTGTATCGGAAACGCCAAGAAAATCGGAAAACCCATGGGACTCAGTACTTCTTCACCTTTTCCTCGCTTGAGGCGGAAAACACTGCATGTCTCTTAGAGAACTTAGACTGTTCCGTGCAAATGGGTTGTGATCGAAAATTCCCTACTCGATCATTTGCTCTTAGCTGCTCGGAACACTTTGCCAAGAAGTAATCAGGTGATCTTCCAGGCCCACTTTTTGCCATGGAATGGGCAGAGTCAAGCCTTGGCCCCGACAGTCGACCCACCCAACCCAGCCAGCCCCACGCCCAGCCAGCCCCACCCACCCAGCCAGCCCAACCCACCCACCCAGCCCCACCTTAAATCCCATGAGCCGCAAAAGCGGAGTTCCCTGGCCAAAACGAGCAAAAAGTCGGCTGATGAAAAACCCCACCTCCCCTCTGTCACACACAATTCCGAGTGCCCGGGACCCCGGCCTCGTGGTTCATGCTCCAACCAAAAGCACACAGGGCGCCGATGCATCAAACGGATCTCAGTCAAATGTGAGACCGGAGAGCCGGAGCTCCCCCTGCCGAGATAGGCTTTCCCACCCCCTCAAGAAGGAAACAGAACTGGGAACTGAAGTCGGTTGAACGCCCTACCATTGTCATGGCGAAAGCCCCAGGTAGGTGCAAAGCGCGGTCAAAGGCGAAATCTCGCCGAAGCCTTGGGAACCTCAAACAACACTTGAACTGCTGAGAGCTCTGGACGGGAGTCGGGGGGCGGAAAGAAGACATGTAGGTATCAGCTCATTCGCGTGTCCAGATTCAGGCTTGAGCCCACCGAATGGCTGACCTCCTCCATCGACGCAAATGCCAACTCCAGCGGCTTTCCGAAAGAAAGCCTTGGCCACCAAAGGGAAACCGAAGGTTGCCCAACCGGCAAATGGAAGCCACCCATTTTGAGAGCAGTCCCAGGGCTTGAAGAGGTCGCCGCCTTGCCCGAAAGTGCTGTGACAACCCTCGACATTGGGAAAAAGTCGGCGCCTGCCTTTTTTTGCCGGGGGGGAAACGGGGAATTCGGCGAGTCGCTGGTTCCTCCCCAAATGGCACAGGCGTGGTCGTGTTTAAGCGTTGCTTCGTTTGTGATAAACCCGGGGTCTTCTCCAAATGGAGAACCCCAATCCCGTGAGTCCACTGCCCAGAAAGGCTCATTGCCTCACAAGCCCAAGGAGTAGAAATTGGCCCCCGGAACCCTGCCGCCAACCGAGGATTGCCTAAGACCCCGCAACTGTCGGTCTTGAGGGAAGGACGGTTCAGAGGACCACCCCTGGGGAGATCGATCTCAAGCCTTCGAGGCATGGCCAGTGCAACAAGAACTGCACTCAGGTTGAAGTTCATGCCCTTTTTCGACAAATCAGAGGGAAAAAGGAGCGCCTGCAACGCTCATTGAATCCCTCTGGCAAATCTGAGGCTTGAGCTGTTCGCAAAATGAACTTCCGCAAACTCTAGCTGCTGCCTCCAACAAACTTTGGTTGCTCAGGCATGCAAATCCCATATGCAAGTGCTCCCCTCTTGCCGCTTGCGGACCGAAAACAAAATTCCAAGGTCGGCTCAAGAGCACAACCCTCATATGAGGATCTGGCTAGTGCGGGCCACGTCATCCATCCCTGAATGACCTTCAAACAACTATGTCTTGTGGTCCTATGATGGTTCTCCAGGCCCCGTGTTCAGCCTAGGTTCGTCTCTTGGGTTGTACTCACTTCAGCGGCCTCCCCAAACCCCTCTTCCGGTTCTACCAGGATGGTTGTGAATGCATATGTGGCCCAAGTACGATCCCCGTTGAACAAGGCAGAGGACGGGCGTCTGTTTCACTTCATCGGTGCAACACGCAGCTGCGCAACCCTCAACGCCCTCCAATAGCTTACCCATGCTTAGCCCCAGGCACAAGGTGAGTCTTTTTGATGCTGTGCTGTCCGCGCAATGTCTTTGAACATTGCCAATTGCTATCGCCCTGGCCAAAAGGCTCTCACAGGCTCAAAGTGCGTGGATTGGGTCGCGGGTGGCGCGCATGCCTGTGGATTCCACAGGACAACACTGAAGTCTCCCGAGGAAAACAGCTGGAAACCACTTCTTGTTCCAAAGATGTTGAGTTTGTTTCTGACGGTTTGTTCACGCTGCTGTGAAGATAGTATCGGACCTCTCAGTGTTGACTCGGATGCTAACCCAGCATCTGTCCGATGAAGGGAATGGCGGGATGCGCCCATCGACTCGCGTCGACGGGGAAAGCGCCAGAAACTCGCCCCTCAAAGCTCTTAGTTCCCGTCCATAGCGTCTGCTTCTATCTGTCCATGAACAAGGCAGTTACGGCCTCCCCGAATGAGCAGAAACCATAGATCCAAGCACACAACCATGATCGGCGCAACTTTTAACCTTGGTTTCAAGCGAAACCAAAAGGAAAATCACCACCCCAAGCCCCCCTTCCCGATGTTCACACATATTCACCTGACTCGTGACATAGTCTATGACAGGTTGGCCAAGACCCCTCCGATGTGGGAAATATCACCTTGTAATTGGTAACCTTTTGATCAACCCCCACACATTCTAGATTTCGCGGGCGCTTTGTAGCTCTAGTAAACCAGCGTCAGTCTTGTGAGGTCCTCTTCCCACCCCGAAAGCCCAGAGGGGCGACGCGACGCAGGCAGGGTTGCTGCAGTCACCTTTTCACTGCACCATAGCCCTGGCTTAGGATGCGTCGCGCTCGTCTGAACAGAACCTCGGAGCCTCCGCTTCCAAAGCATGGTGCTGGCTGGGTCTTTGGAGCCATCTGCACAGACTCCGAACCGGGCGCGAGTTCGAGCCCAGGGAAAATAGGAAAAGCAAATTGAATGCATCGCACTCGAAGTGAGATATCGGAGCGGCGTCGCGCTTTCGCCCAAGAGGCTTTCGCGCTTGATCGCCTGTTGATACCTGAAGATTGGCTCGCATTCTCCCGATGCGGAGGAAGCTCTTTCTGTTTGAAGCATCTGGACTCAACTGATCCTCATGCACATGGACTTTGCCTTTTTGGAGGGGGGCCTTCGGGTTAGCATATTCAGCCATCCCCCGGAGCCGATCCAGGCCGCAGGAAGCGCCATCTCAAGCCTTGAACTTCTTCATGACCTCGGCACCGTGCCCCACACGCTGAGGGCTCTCTTTCAAGAGCCTTCCACATGTCCACATGGGACCAACGAGTGATGCCCGTTCAAGAAGCTGTGGTTGTTTCTGATGTGATAGGATGAAGACCCGCACATCTCCAGTTGCTGAGACGTGACACTCTTTTTATTATGCAACCCAGTGCTGACACATAAGCGTGCATCTGTGTTCTGAGCTTCCAACCAGGCTCAGAACATCAGAAGCCTTCTTTCCACGGGAGCCCTTTGTCTCCAGTCCCGACCGGGCCCGGAGAACTGTGCAGTCTCCCAAAAGCGGCAGCCCGCGCTGCGAACAGGGAAAAGTGAAGACAAATTATAGTGAGTAACAATCATTTCCCCGACCAAAAGGTTCGGTTGGGTAACACACGTGGAATTGTTTTTTGTTTATTTCCGTTTGCTTGTGTGATAATAGTTTTTGTGTGTATTTGTTGCTGTTAATGTTTTGTAGTATGTGATGTTTGTTTTAGTTTGTTTTTGGTTAGTGCTTTTGTTATTATTAGTTTTTTTAAAAAAATAAATTTTAGAGATTCCCCGGAAAAAGGGTGGGCCACTGGGGTTCCATGTGCTAACTGGGGAAGCAAGGCCATGAGAGAGTCATCATAATTTTAAGTCTTGCATTAAATTTCAGGCCGGCTCAGGGGCAGCATCGGATATAAACGGAGGACTGGAGCAAGAGGTTCCACAAAATGGTTCATTTCAGACCACCGAAATGGGGGGAGAAAAACAACTAAAACACAGGAGGGGTGTCTACTTCGACCTCCCCGGAAACGGTCTTGTCAGTGGACTCAATCATGTCGCAATGTCTGGTGGAAAACCGCAGGGCACCCCCCCCCCCAAAAGCGGACAGGGCTTGAGGCTTATCAAAACCTTCACGGTGAAGGTGGGGGGCTCGCTGGATTTTGGCTTTTGTTTTGAAGAATGGATGAAGCGACCCACACATGCACCATGACTCCTCTTTTGGATTGCCCGACTTCAGTTGGAATGCTACATGCTGGCATCCCTTCTCATTGGCGGTGATCTTATGGTTGTCCCAAGCTGCTGAAACGACCCCGGCTTTGGTGACTCAGTGGTTCACAGCAATCTTCAGCTTCCTTCTGCGAGGCCTCCCAATTGAACCCAAGCGGAGGGCCATCTCATTGGGCCGTGGCTCAATGCAGGAGCTCAGGTTCCAACTCTCGCCGAAAGGCCCCAAGGACCAGCTGGGGACTGGGCCTCCTTCTTCAAGTGCTTCTTGTAAGATTGGATATCGCCCTCCCATTTGGACACCGTCTTTCTGTCCTGAGCTCCGGGAGAGCAGGTTGGCATTACACCTTGAGAACACCTGAACATCTCCCAAAGCCCATTACCGTTCAGAGGTTCATGTGAGTGGTAAGAACTCCTTGCACAGCCTATGGTCAAGATTCCCTTCTTAAAAATCACTGTCACGGCAATTTAGGATCTTACTACCAGGTGGATAACCCAAGTAGAGAGGTCTTTTGACCATTGCTCATATGGGCCTTGCTGCTCCTTACTTCTCATTGAACCAGGTAGCAAACCCCCCCCCCCCCCTACCTCAAAGCAGTGCCTCACATCACTCCGAGGATCAAGTCGAGAGATCAACCACAGTCAGGAACTGAGACATACCACAAAGAAAGTACGTATAGAGTTCCCATGCGAAAAGCTAGAGCCAAAGTTGCAAGGAGTACATGGGGCTCTATGTTGTTCTTCCGCTCGGACTGCGATTTTGGGTATTGTATGCCAGTGTCGCAATGGCGATGCACATGCATGGGTAGTTTGGCCCAGCTCTGTTTCTCTCATTTGTTCAAGGGATTGCTTGTGGCATGCTGGGTTACTTGCTTTCGAGGCATTAAAAGGCCGCCGAGGCTTGTCTTCACCATCTCAGCTCTGAAATCTGGTATGTCTTCTCGTGCGAGGATTCCCCATTTGAAGTTGCCTGAGAGGAAGGCCAAGCGAAAACACCCCCTTAACGGCTTGGCACAATTCAAGTGCTTGTTCATTCGCGCATGCGCATATTTTTTATTCCAACGGACAAGCATTTCAACAGCGCAGCTGCGATCAATCTCACACTCCAAATACAAACCATATGTGAACATATCTAGTCAAAGCATGTATCGTCCACTGGTCTATGTCACACAATCCTTCTTGGGAAAATGCATTCCTGAGTTCATTAAAATGGTTATACATGAAAACATATTTTTCAACACAAAACTGGACAATCGTTCCAAGGGTAACGTGGTACCCGGAAGGCTTGTTTTCGGGAGGGCTTTAAACGCTAGATGCCTCGTTTCAAGTGCTCCTGTACAAGCACGTACAACCCAAAAAAGAGCCTCCCAAGCCCTTTGGCCTGAACGACACCCGGGCGAAATGCCAAAAGGCTCGCTAACTTCTATGTGCTCAGGATGTCAACAACTCGTTGAAACCAAGCCGGAAAAGTACGGGTTCCGGGAGGGGTTCTTTGGGGTTGCCTCAGCCCCCGGCGCAAACCCAGATGTCTTTGGCGACTTGGCTGATCAGCCTGAAGTCATGGCTGACCTCGGCGCATCGGCCACCGGCAGGGCTGCCTATATTTCCCCGCAAAACATCACCCCCATGAAGGGAAGCTCACCTTAAATGGGCAAGAAAGGTGATCTTTAAAACAAAAAAAAAGGAAATATAGGGACCCCACCGGCACATAGTGGATTTTCACTTCGCCGCTTCGCCTGCCCCCCCGTCACCGCTGTTCGCTGTTCGCTCTCACATTCTGAATCCCAGCTCACCTATATGCTGTAGACAACTGGAGCCAGATGAACATAATGAGTCTCTCGCTTCTTTTCGCTATACAAATCCCCAGTACTTGAGCGAGTAAGAAGGGAACAGGAGAGAACCACCGAGTCAATTCCTTGCCCTCTCTTTCCACTTCCCAGTGCTTCCACTGTATGTCCTGGAAGCTGATGGAAAAGACTTGACAGGGACTGCCACTCCTCACCCTTTACCTTTCGCTCTCTTTCTCTCCTTCTCCCTCTTTCTTTCTCTCTCTCGCTTTCTCAAGGCTAATGGGTCGTTTGGGGTCATTTAAACAAAGAGCAAGCAAGTCCAAGCTGACCCTGAAAGCTAGAGGGTGTTCGCAGTGCTGGCAATGTGGGATGAAACAAACGAGAACAATACTTCATGGCGTGTCTCGCTCAACTCCGTTAGCTACAATCTTCTTGCTGCGCTACAGGTATTCTCAACAAAAAAAAAAAAGGTAGAGCACTCACAAATTGTCGGCAAGTCCGCAAGATCCTTGTCCTTCTGTGAAAAGCACTGGAGTTTGTCCTCACACACCTGCTTCATCGGAAAGGGGGTGACGTGCGTGCTCTGAGCATACCTGCGATTGGAAACCAAGCTCCGATTTGGGATGTTGGCGAACAAACCAAACTTCAGCTTGGGCCGAATGGTAAACTCTGGCGGCTTGCAGTTGAAAAGGAAGCTAACATAGAATTTCAAGTTGGGTCAACCCCATATGTCAACATGTTCGCCGAGGGCCCTTTTGTCAAATCAATTAAAAAGGACACCTTATAATATGTCATGCATGTTTGCCTAGATCCCCCCTGAACGCCAAACCCCTCCCAACCCAAACTGCAGATGGCTGCACACACACACACACACACACACACATGAGTTCTACACATCTACAGCCTGGAGTGTCCGTGCCCGAACCTCGCGTATGCGGCACGGATGGGTGGATCGTTGAAGGAACTAGATATTTCAGTCTGCTGAAGACTGAAGTACCAACGGCCATCCCCAGCCCCAAAAAATGATTGACACACTTGACAGAACTTCCAGACCTAACCCACTTCTCCAAGTCAGGCTTCTTTCTTTCATTCAACCACTTCCCCCGCAGCCAAGTCATGGGTGACAGCTTTGAGTCGATCTCGACATTTCCGCCTACCCGTGGCCGGCGCCGGGCACCGGGGCGCCCCGCCAGAACGACACCACCAGAGAACTTGTTGATGGCTTTGGCCAAGGCATCGATACATTGCCTCGCTCTCAACAGAGAGAGAGCCCGCCGGATGTGCGTCCAACCCCCTTTTGGTGCCCTGTACAGCTTTACGGGGAAAAAACCACATCCGGGCTTCCGTGTACTTGTTGGACGCCCCAGACTGAGTTGAAACTGATTGGAAGTCTGCCCAAAAGTTTGGCGGTCCCCCATTTTGAGATAGCCCAGAAAAAGCTTGGAAAAAAACTCTCCCACGAACCCAAAAGTGCTGAATTAAGCAACGGAAAACTAGTCATTTGCCACGTCTAGGGTTTCGCCCACCAAATGCTTCTCAGTTGTAATTTTGGAAAGCCTCCACCCTCCCTTACCAAAGGGGTCGTCGCAAATCCGGCTCGCCAAAACACAAAGAAGGATTGTCTTAGGGACGTCCGATGGCAAAGCCAAAAAGGCAGGCTGTCACAGGCAAAGAAACTAGCTTCGGGAAGCACCTCCGGCTTAGGCCAACATCCCTTGATGTTTGCCCGACCTCGCTGGTTTGGAAGCTACCCGCAAGCCTCCACCTTCAGAAAAGTAAGGAAATAGAACCTTAAGCAGCTCGAGCTCGCAGTCCTCCCCCAAACAGATCCCTTGCAAAACCAGGGACTCTGAGGGGCTTATTGATTTTCGAGGCGGCAATACAGAAGCTCCATCCCTCAGGCGAAGACATGTCCAAGTGGTTCGTGGGCTCATCCAGCAGCAAGACGTGGGGGTTCACCAGCGCAATGAGGAGCATCACGACCTTTCGAGCTCGATTCAACACCGGAAGGACTGCAAATGGACGAAATCCATTCGCACCACCTAAGAGACGCCTGAAATGATCATTCCCTGTAGATACAAGCAAATAATGGTTTCCCATGGTATCAAAGTGATGCAGGATTTTGTCCATCCACAGGATGAACTGCATCCCCAAGTAAAAGACCTACATCATGGCTTTCGCTCACAACACCCCGAATCGATGGGCACTTTGTACAATAGGCAGCTTGATGAAAATAAGGTGTGCTTTCGGAAGCTCCGGGAGAAAGCATACGAACCTACGAGCGCAGTATGGAAGTAAGTGAAATGCAAGCCAGTGCAAAGATTGCAGGGGCTTCAACCTGTCGCCTACTTGCTTGATATTTAATTGGAATTATGGCAAGTGTGGCACCACATGAAATTGGACTCCAAAAGACTCCATTTCCCACAACTAGGCTGGGAATTGGCTGTCATCCCTTCGGCGTCAGAGTCCACATGACCCTTCCAAATTGGGTCCAGTTCTCCAACCCCAGCAATTTGATAGGTGCGTTTCAGATAACCCTGGCATCAGGCCCAAGAAGCCATACATTCCAAAAGGAACCCACACGTCCCGCGATTCATGTTGAGAGTCCTTTGAAAAAAACTATGTGGCCCTCTTGGCACGTCCCCATCTGGGCAGGGGATGCCCTGTGAAGTGCCCTCTGAGATGTCGACTCGTGTCCTCATTCCGTCCTCAGTGGATCACTTTCAGATGGTATTGCAAGGCAAATCAGAAGCAAACCAAGCAGCTTTAGGAGGCCCAGACTTTCTCGTACGCCCCCCACCCCACCCAACCCCAGTCAGGGACTTGAGGCGACAGTGGTCTCGGAATCCGGGCCGGAATCAGGGGTTCTCAACTTGTCCACTGCAGAGGAAAAAGGTTTGAATTAGTACGGTTCGGAATAAATCTGAAGTTGAGATTGAGAATAGAAAGTCCCAACCAGAAATAGGTGTGGATATCCGGATATCCCTTGCGACTCCTTTGGGTCTTGATTCTGACCGAAATGAGCTGCCCCGCGAAGCAGGTTTGTTTTGCGTTGAAAGGTTCCGGTTGCGGCCTTCTTGTTTCTGGTGCAATTCATGGTTTGCCGAAGGCGCGGTATGAGGGCCAATAACCGCTTGCTCCTCTCTCTCCCTCCCTCTTTCTCACTCTCTCTCTCTCTCTCTCTCTCCCTCCCTCCCTCTTTCTCACTCTCTCTCTCTCTCTCTCTCTCTCTCTCCCTCTCGTTAAAATCGGACTGTTGTTTACTACAAGTACAAGTGCTGTAATGCTGCTATCACAAACAAACCTGTAGTCTGCACAGCTCCTATTTTGCATGGGCTCTGGATGTAGTAAAGAAGCTCAAGGCCTGCGATCATGTACAAGCTGCAGTGGGGGGGGGTCCCTCAGCCTCTGCACTCGAAAATGGCTCCAGCCCTGCTATTGATCCTCTAAATCTCGCAAGGGCTGGGATCAAACTTGAAACGCCTTTCTGCCCAATCTTACCAGCCAGACATCCCAGTGACACTCCAGCTGCTTAGAAACTGCCGTGCCCAAGATCGCCCGGCTTTCTGGCTTCGGTGGGGATCCGTTGCTTGAATGTGTGGCTTCACCCCAATGCGCAGCTTTGCCACTCGGAAAGCTGGACCTACAAGAAACGGAAGGTGTCTGTGTGCCGCAGAACTTGCCCTCGCTCGCTGTGGCTTCCCTTCCTATGATGGTTTCCATCCTCAAACCACTACCCACAGGGGGGTTGATGGGATATGTATTATTTAAATACTGTCATCTGGCTGCTTGTCCCTATCTTTTCTTTGCGCGTGGTTTTAAAAGTGTGGAAACCCTCTTTGACTCATAAGTTGATACTGCACGGGAAGAAAGTATCTCTGCGAATGGCTGCTCCCCTCGGTCAAGGCTCCTCAGAGCAGCGGTAAATGGGTATGTATCCAGGCGCGAATACCCCAAATATGGTGGTGTTCCTTTTGGTTTCCCTGCATATGAAGCATCCAAACAAGAACGCCCTCAAAATCACAAGCACAAATATGATCAGAGTTCCGCGGAAGCAACTTGGCAGCATGGGTTTGTCGCACAATAGGGGGACCCCCCAAGAGGGCGCCTCTACAAAAAGAACACACACACACAGACACAGACACACACTCGTCCAAGGTGCAGTGCGCGTCTCAGCGCACCCAAAGGTCTATATCGATAGGCTCATGCAGAAATTCCACCTAGATGTCCCACAAGGGTCCGTACAGGTACCCACGTAAGCACAGAAGCACACAAACATGCAAAACAGTTAAACAAACAAACAAAAAAGAAAGAAAAAGAAAAAGAAAAAAAGAAAGAAAGAAAGAAAGAAAGAAAGAATGAAAGAAAGAAAGAGACAAAAGAATGAAAGAAAAAGAAAGAAAGAAAAAGAAAGAAAGAAAGAAAGAAAGAAAGACAGAAAGAAAGAAAGACAGAAAGAAGCAAGCAAAGCGACAAACAAGCGAAGACGCCAAACTGGCTCGGCCAGTGCTGGGCAAGCGACCGACATCGTCTTCATCTTTCGTGTCCTCGAGAGGCAGAGCGAGCCTTTTCGAGCTGCTTCGGGATGAGGAACGCCATTCAAAGTTGAGCAGGGATCCTTGCATTTTACGCCTGAACATTGCCTTGTAAATGCCTTGTAAATGGTGGTTGTCCATTATTTTGGTGGAAAAAACCATGTTTCAAATGGGGAAAATGTATCTTTTAAACAGCCCTGATTACCCATGGGTCAAAATCCAAATCGTACCCCCAGTGAACATCCGATTCAATCCAGCAACTAAAATACGTCCTAAAATGGGTGGTGAATTCACCTACCAGCCAAAATGGTGGTGGCTTTGACAACCACAGCCAAATATGAGCCAAGGTCATGTCATGGAAGCAGTGAGTCCCCTCGTGTCCGTCGAGCCTGTGTCCCCTGTTTGGCACCATCATAGCGAGCCCAAAGGGAGTGAAAGCCTCCAGCTCTGGAGACGTGAAGAACCGGCCAAAAAAACATTTGTCCCTCCAAAAAAAAACGTTAAGCTAAATGGAGGCAATGGAGGTGAATGATTCATTCACACACTTCACCAGTCTCTTCAAGGGGTCTGCAACTTGCTTGTTCTTCAAAGGGAATATGAGCATTGACCCGTGCAGTCGGAAGGCTCACTCACAGAGTTCCCAAAGCAAGGCAATAGGTCCGAGCGTGAGCTGTGGGAGAGCAAAAGCCTCAAGCATTAAGAATCCGTCGTCCCCTTGGAAGGTTGCGGGAAGCTGGCAAACCTCCTGACTCGCGACAAGGAGGCCGCGCCCTTCCCAAAACTCTTGATACAGCAGATGGTTCGGGAAAGAGCTCCAGTTCAGCTTTCCCTTTCTGTGAGGAAGCCCCACTTTCAGGTTGTAAAGGAAAGCCAAAAAGCAAAACCACCAACTTTGGCGGGGGATCCCCCTCTTTTGGGGCCGAGCCAACCTCCATTTATCGAACCCTCCAAATCCCTCCCTCTGATGTCAAGGCGCTGGAAGTCCCCGGTGATCCCAAAGGACCCAAGCTTGCCTGGCCATCCGGGGCGAGCTGCCAAACATTTAGCCCCACAACCATACCTGTCCTTTTTGGAAAATAGATGGATCTCTTTGGGTCAAAACAAATGGTACCCAAATAGAACAATCGTAAAAGGAAGCAACTAAGCTTGCTCTCCGCGGAAGCCAACAAAACATAGAGGAATCTTTGTTTGCAAAAAGGGCCTGCTTTGGCGGCCATGAAAACAATGCAGGGGGCATCGACTCCTGCTATTCCCCCTCTCTCAATTCCAGTGTCCTTCTCTCTTTTGCTACACGCCTTGAGGATCAGTATAACAAGATGAGGGCCAAAAAGCAAATGGACCCACGTTGCCGACGAGAATATGTTTGCTGATCTCTGAACAAAAGGAATGTTGCATATCTACTGCATTTGCCTGGAAAGGGAGATCGCAAGTGAGAAGGTCAGGGAAAGGCTGTGCGCTCCAAGAAGTTGTCCTAATGATTGACGTGCTTTGTCTCCCTTGCATCTTGCTCCTTGCTTGTTCTTAGATTCTTGGTAAGGAATGCAGGAATGACCTGATTCGGATGATTGGAGAGGATACGTTTGCCCTTTTTTCGAGGAAAACATGCAAGACTCGCGAATGCCAAGCATATGAAGGCTCCACTTGAAACGTCACTACCTCGACAAATGTCAACCCTGGACTATTCAACCTGAAGGGTTCATAGAGTGTTCCCCAAAAAGTGAAGGCTGCCTTCTTATCTAAATAAGACACCTCCCGCGAATTCACGAGGTGTTTGAGCCATACCAAGGAATAAGATCGGAATCTCTAGTTGACTAGGCGCAAGAACCAGTTGGCAAGCGGAGTCTCGCGAGAGACCTGGGTGTTTCGCCGGAGAAACGAATGCAGGCGCTGAGGCTGTGCCTTTGATCCTTAGCAACAGAGGGACACCCCTCACTCAGGAGGGTGTCTACGCCCTTTTTGGCGTCCAGCGGTCAAAAGGGGAACCCTCCGTGCAATCCTCACGCAGCAAATCTTTATATCCTGTATTGCCGGCCCCGACTCCTGAAATTGATTCAGGGGTCCCATGTTTCAAAACGCATCCGCACAAAGCCATGAGCATAAGAGGTCGATGCCCGGTTGTTGTGACACACACGTTAGCGGAGCCGCTGAAGAATGGAACGAACGCTCTCGACAAAGGTTCCACCTCCCCCCAAAAGAAAAAAGTTTGGAGCCCGACGGTCTTCCCTTTAGCCAACGTTTACAGAATTTGAGAGTGTCAATTTAATGAACCGATCCAACCCAGAAGCCAGCAATGATACCTTCCATGGCATTCAACTGCCTTCATGCTTGTCGCAACAACCCGCAAGCCACACACGTCTCCTTCCAACCTGCAACAAAGCATATCATTGGCGTGAGGCTCTGCAATGAAACGCAGCATGTCTTTGCCTCGCTACGCAAAACGTCCCCTACCCCAAACCACAAATTCTGAAGCCGCCAATTCCTGCCTTGGAGCCCAGCAGAATCTAAAAACCCTGGTCCCTTCTGGGGCCCTGACAATAGTGTCTAATTTGCAACCTCCTTGGGCTTTAGGGCGCAACATAGCCCAGTGTCCATGGCAGCCCCCTGCTTCCCGATGGTTTGGCTTGATGATTAGAGGTTAGGGGCCTCGCTTCGCAAAGGGGTGGACCCCTTTCTGGTGGTTAAAAGGAGAAGAATGGCTCACTATATATTCATTCCCCCTTACGCATCACCCCTTGAGAAAACTCAACTAAAAGTGGCAACCAAAACCTAATGTTTAATAGTAGTGGTGCAAGTGGACTGCAAAGAGAAATGTACGGACCCCGGAGAACAGAAACACTTCACACCGTGCCTCTCCACTCCGCGTCCTCCATCTTCTTCTTGCCGGCCGTGGTGACCACGCCCTATCCGATCGCATCGGTCGCCGCTTCTTTCTCCCGGGAAATTCAGAGCACGAATTGGAGGACCCGGCTCTAAGAAGGGGTTTCAGTTCTAAGTTCTAAGAAACGGGCGCTAAGACTTGGATTCCGAAATCAGACGGGAAAAACAGCACATCTTTGCACTGTGCAAGCGATCGGAACCCGTTTGTTGCCGCAAGTTTGGGGTCCCTAGAGCTCACCTCCCGCCCAACCAAGCAAGCAATTCAGCAACCAAGCAACCAACCAACCAACCAACCAACCAACTGTCCAACCAACTTACCAATAAGACCCAACCAACTGTGGCCTTGTTCAGCCTTGGCCAAAACAGCGGCCTGGTTGGAACTTCAGGTGGCTGAATGGGGTGGCCCAGGATTGCGCTGAACCCTCTGGCCAAGTTGTCTCACCAGCCAGTTGTGACTTTGCGGGCCCTAGAAGGCGTCCTTCGTCTTGGAACTGTTCGGCGTGAACCCCCCCGAACAGCCAATCAGATCAGCAAAGGGTTTCCCGAAACCCAAAAGCATGGCCTCTCCGAAACCTGGCAGTTGGCAAAGGGCACCACTTTGTGGGTTGATCTTGTTGAAAAATCGGAAAGGGTTGAAAACACAGATGAGAGGCGCTTGCCTAACCCAATTTTGAGCTAGAAGCTTTTGCTGATTGATCATACAACATCGTCCCGGATTTGATTTTCCTGTAAATAAATCCTCGTACTTGCCCAGTGTATTGGTGTCCCTTGGAAGAAGGCAACCCGCACTTGCTTTGTGGCTTGAATTTCAAGGGAGGCCTGGCTAAAACCCCCCCCCCCCCCGGCTCCCCCGGCTCTCCC